CTCGAGAGACGTTGAGCCTTGAGCAACTTGAGGCATTTAGCTAATTGAATTCAAAACATGCCAAGAGAAATCAGCAACGCCCTGGGTGGCATCCTGTGACTCGAGTTCCAGCAGCAACAACAACAACAACAGCAACAGCAACTGAGCCACTGAATGTTTTGTCACACGGCTAGATGAGCCGCTGCTGCAGTCGGCTCAAAGAAATGCAAACACTTCAGCGCTGCTCGAGCTTGGCCCACTTGAGGCAGCGCGGCGAGCCACCGAGCGCTGCTCAGCTCACGCATGACAAAAGCTTCTTCCTCTTTGTCATAGTCATTGTTGTTGCTGTTGTTGCTGCTGTTTGTTGTTGCTGCCTCTCAAGTGGGTGGCTAAACAACAAACACTTGTGTCGACCAGCCAAGTGAGACCTCCAAGGTGTTGCTGCTGCTGCTGCTGCTATTCCGATCTCACTCTCATTAGCCAAGACACACACACACACACGCGCACACACACTTACATACAGACTGAATTTATAATGATTTATACGCCTGCGCCGCTTTAAGCCAAGCGCATTTATTGCTTATGAAAAGTTTATTGAATATGCCGTGAGTGATAAACATCGGTAATTAATTTGCCCGCTCGCTCGATCGCTTGAGGATTTGTCGCACATCTCGGCGACTCGGACAATTATGAGTAGCCATTACTTTTATGCGATCAGGCAAATTAATAAAGCTTAAAGTGCTTGCCGAATGACTTAATTAAATGTTGAAAAATCGCACGAGGCGCCGTCACATAATTGATGGGCCAAGTTTTTCCTTATATGCAAACTGAATACCTCAAGTGAAGTGAATTGAATTGCAATGCATTTGTAATTATTGCCGTTATTATCTACTCCCACTCGGTGGCTGGAGTGGCATCAGCCCAACACATCTGCCATTTTCCTCCATTATTTTTCATAAGCAATTTAACGGCCGGCACTTAAGTGTGCCCAATTTCCCAAACGATTTTCATGTGCGAAAAACGGCAAATTATGCGAGGCTTCACAATGATGATGGATCACCAATCGGGCAACGCCATAAAACGGCAACAAGTCAATAAGAACAACGGCCCCGCCAAAGGTTTAGCCAGAGCTCTGGGCATATGGCCGACACACGCACACACACGCACACACACACACACGTACTCACACCTCAATAGCAATATTTGTGGCCATTTTTTGTTGCGCTTCCCAAGCCCAACGAGGAGGCTGCCACAACAACAACAAAATACTGAAATAAAAAAAAGTTAAGAAAAAGAACGAAACGTTTTGAGGTATTAACACAAAAGCGGCTTTGGCTTTAGCTTTGGCTTTTGGCTTGACCAGTTTGCCAATACCTGCATCTGCTATAGACATGAGTGTACACACACACACACGCACACACATATGTATCTTTTTTTATGGCGGATTTGTGTGATCCGCTGCAATATTTTTGAGCCTTGGCTGCGTCAGTTGTTGCATTGTTTTGCCGGCACAAAATATAATAATAAAAATAATAATAATAATGCTTGTTGCTGCTGCCGCTGCTGCTGCTGCTGCTGCTGCGGGATGCTGCAACATGTTCATGCCTCATTATTTTTATACGGATTTTTGCGGTCCGCTGAGATTGGTCGCCTCGCCTTGGCCTCTTGCCATCGCTGCTTCTCAGGCAGCAGCTTGTAAACTTTTTTGCGTCTCTAAAAAAAACAAAGCAACAGCCAGAAAAAAAGCTGACTGCAACAAAAAACACAACAAAAAAGTCGCCCGAAAGTGCTCAAAAGTTTATTAAAATTCCGAGCGTAAATGGCAACGCCAATGAAAGGCTAAACAACAACAACAACAACAATAAGAGAATAAGAGAATAAGCAAAGCCAACACATGTTTTCACGCCTACCCAAAAAAAAAAAAAGCAGTCAAAAAGCTGTCAGAGCAACCGCCTTATATGCAGATTAGCCATATGTCTCTCTGTCTCTCTCTCTCTCTCTAACTGCCTGTCTCGCTCGCTGCTATTACATATGCAAAATCAAATTATTCAAATTCAATTATTGTCAATTTTATTTATTATTAATGCGCATAATTGTCAAATTTGCCAAATTTATGAACGAAGTTAAAGAATCGTATATAAACATATAGATATATATGTATATATATTTGTGACTTGACTTGCTCGTTACGCACACGCACACACACATACATACACATGTATATAGAGTGCAGTCCTGAAGTTTTATGCAAATCCGAAACCGAACGTCGCGTTTTTGCGCTCAATCCGCACGAATTTATGAGACATGTTGAAATGCATCTCACCTTGATTGTGGAGCCGGAGCTGGAGCCGGTCTGTGGAGCCACCAAAGACGTGCAGCACACTCACATATAAATGTATATATATATATATATGTATATGTGTGTGTGTGTGTATGTGTACATGATGATGATATGCGTCTCGCTGGCTTCAAGATTAATGGCAACGCATTTAATTTGTTTTTGGGTGTTCTCTCTGCTCAGCTCAGCTCAGCTTCAGCTCTGCTCTGCTCTGCTCTGCTCTCGTGTGGCACTCAACTGCTAGACTCAAGTCGCAACTTTAACTAACATACAGACAGGCAGAAGTTTGCATGCATATTTTATCCGCTACACCTCGTGTTTAGTTTAATTCACTTCCCATTGGAAGCGAACTTGCCTGAGATAAACATTCTAGCTATTCTGCTCCAGCTCCTGCTGCTTCAGCTACTCGCAGCTATTATATAATTTGGACAACAATCTCTATCAACATAATATTATGCAATCCATAAGCGTGTAATTTCGTTTAGCACTTAGTAAAAAAGAACATACAACAACTAAATGTCTGGCGTTGAATTTTGACATCCAAATTGCGACAAACAAAAGTCGAGGCGGAGCCACAAGGCACGGAACGGAGYAGACATTGCAGCTGTAGTAGTTGTTGTTGTTTTTTTTGTGTGTTTTTTTTTAATAACATGCTGAAAATGCTTTTTTAACAGCATGAAAATTATAACGCATCAGTCACGACATGACATAAAAAAATAAAATAAATAAAAAATAAAAAATATAAAATAAATTGAAGCAGAAGAAACAAGCGGAATATGTTTCCCCTATCACTTTTGGGCTGGGAAAATCTTGCGACAGACATTTGCAAAAGGCTTTCTTTCAGTAACTGGAAAAACTTTTGTACAACAGCGAAAATTGAAAACTTGATGATGGAATGAAATAGAAAGAGAAACAGAAAGAGAAACTGAAACTGAGACAGAAGCCAAAGCAAAACAAAGCCAAATAGAAACTGAACTATAAATCATTAAAAATATCTGATATTTTTTGGGGCTTTATAATATGCAAATTACAGTTAATAACATGCTCCAGTCGCTGCATAAATTAACAAACTATTCTCTGTTATTTTTTCTAGTTTCTTTTTCATTCTTTTTTTTTTTTTAGATAATAGGCCAAATCAATGAGCTGCCTTGTTAGAGGAGTCGAGCACTCGGCGGCTGCTCAGCAACTGTCTAATAATAATGAAATATTTCCTAGACGCTTCCAGCTCTCTTAGCCCGCCACAAAGGCTTTGTAAGACATGGTTGTCAATGTGTTGCCCGGCTGTTGTTGTTGTTGTTGTTTTGGTTGTGTTGTTATTTATGTTGCTCGATGCGGCCATACTAATTTCAAATTTAAATCTTTGCGCTGTGACCTTTCATGCCTACCAACCATATCGAGATTGTATGTAAGTATGTATGTAGATGTACGCACAAACATACAGACATAAATAAATACATATATATGTATAGATATTTATATTTATATATATTTCTCTTAATTTCGAAAGCGTATTAAATTACACTCACACACACACAGGCACGCTCACTCACACACGCAGAGAAAAAGAGCCGATGCACGCTCCTCAACAACCCCGCCCCCTCGCCAACGGCATCGCCCCCGCACCCACACCCGCCACCGCTTCAGCCTAAGAGTTGAAACAAGAATTTCAAGTATGTTTAACCCAAAACACAACACAACACAAAACTGAGAACCGAATCGATTCTGTTATTCTGGGTCTCAGTCCCGCTTCTCGGTCTCGGTCTCGGTCTTCGTCATCGTCTCGGTCTTGGTCTTGGTTCTTGTTCTTGTTCTTTTCGGTCTCCCTGGCCTGCCCAGGGCCGGGGCTTAAAGTATTTCACAGGAAATCTTCGGAAACGAAACCCAAGCAACAATATGTTCTACACATTTCGTATTTCTTTCATTTTTTCACTCCCTCTCGCTCTCTCTCCCTCTCTCGCTCTCACTCATCTTCTTTCGCTCCGTTTGCTGCGCTGTGTGAGAAATCGAAATCCCAAAAACTAAATCCCTATAATGCCTTTAAGGGGGGCACAGAGACTGCCGCACACACGCACCACTACACTCATATGTGTGTGTGTGTGTTTCGGTATTTTATTTTTTGTTTTTCTTCATATTTGGTGCCCCTACCCCCACCACTCCCTCTTTGCAGCATGTCGCCCCTGCCAGTGTCAGAGAGTCAGCGTCAGCGTCAGCGTCAGAGCAGAGCCCGAGCGTGCGCACAGTCTATAATAATGATAAGATGGCTCTTAATCAGAAAATTTATATGGGCCCAGCATTTAGTTGTTGTTGCCCCAGCCTTTAGCCTCACTCTGACTCTGCCTCCTGCTCAGTCCCAGTCCCAGTCCCAGTCCCAGTCTGAGTCTGACGCTGACTCTGATGCTGATGATGGGTTATGCCCGTTTATAATTATGGGTCCTGTCAAATGCTAAATGAAGGGCGCATCAAAAGGCAGCCAGCAAGTCACAAGCCATACAATTTTCAGTTTAGAGAGCGTTACGCTATGTTGCAGATTGCTCGGCGGCTGCTTGGCCAGTCGGAGTTTGGTTGGCTGGCTGCAGATCGCACTCTTGGCCATTTTGCAGCTGGGCGTGAGTCTGTTCTCATTGGCCGAGCGACGCGAGCTAGCTATGTATGCATATAAATATGAATCAAGGAGAAAGCTTACCGCTTGCACTCGTTCCGAAATTGTCTGCAATGAAAACAAGAGATGAAAGTTGAGAGTTTAGTAAAGGAATATTATGATATAAATATATATATAACTCTTTAGCGAGAGAGAGAGAGTGGGGTGGGGAGAGTGTAACGCCCATCTTTCACTCTAATTTAATTAACGCCAGCAGCTACAAATGCTGCAACCCGATCTCGCCAAACGAACAAACAAACAAACAGATGAATTATCTTCCTCAACAAGTTCAATTCGCTGCCTGACGAAAATTTCTCAGACCTCAAAGCTCGCACCACAATAAATCTTTTCATATATATATATATGTATTTCTTTATTTTTTTTCTGTGTGTGACCCAGGCTCGAATCACAGTTCGCCTGCCGGCTAACCAAAAAAAAAAACAAAAAGACAAAAAACGGAGTAGAAAACAAAAATGTTTAAAATTTTCGTGCAGACTTTGACCGCAGCTTGTTGTTGCTGCTGTTGTTGTTGTTGCCATAAAAATATGATATATATTCACACACTCTCGCACACGCATTGTGCAGCAGAGGCAGCACGGCAATCAATCAAAAAAAGAAAAAAAAACTATGGAACCTACGGCATCAGCCCGAAGTGTGAACCAAAAATATTTGGAGCAAATCAAATGCAGCAAATCGGAATAC